AACTAGAAGAAATAAGCGTTTACTAGAACTCTCTTAGAGCACTATTAGTATAGTATACTTAAAGATTAGCTACTTAAACTCTACTGCTAAGTTACTAAACTTCTAGATAAGAGATAGATTTAAGCTAGCTCTTTATTAGTAAGCGCTTTAGTTCTGCTTATTAAGAAACTAATAGAAGCTTAGAGGCTATGCATAGACTATAGAGCTCTAAATTAAATTATCTATGCTAACTAATACTTCTTACTACTTATTAAAGAAACTCTATAAATACTTTTAAATGCTTAATAGTTTATAAAAGTAAACGTCTATTTAGCATTCTATTAACTCTAAGTTATAGAAAGTAATAAATATCTTATAATATTCTAAACGCAGTTTAGCCTCTTTAAATAGCTTATCTACTCTATAGAATTATTAAGCGCTCTCTTCTTATTCTAGAGATATATTAATAGCGCTCTAAAAGAAACTCTAAAAGACTTTGCTATAGCTTATCTTAATAATATTTTAGTTTATACTTATAGATCTTATACTAACTACTTTAGGAAGGTCTAGAGAGTATTAGAACTTCTGCAGAATACTACTCTATATCTAGATCTTAAAAAATATATATTTACTTAGAAGAAAGTTAAGTACCTAAGATATATTATTAAGGCTAGAAAAGTAGTATAGCTAAATTCTAATAAAGTAGTAGCTATCTAATAATAGAAGCTTCTAATAATAGCAAAGAGTATATAAAGCTTTCTTAGTTTTATAAACTTTTATTATAACTTTATTCTAAACTTCTTCTATACTATAGCCTCTTTATATGCACTAATAAAATATAATATACTCTTCTAATATACTATAATTAAGCAGACTGCATTTAACTAGCTTAAGTAAGCTTTCTGCTTAAGTCTAGTTCTTATATAATAGAACTCTAAACGCTATATAATAGTTAAAGTAGACTATTTAGAAGAAGCGCTAAGAGAATACTTATTATAAGAAATTAAGAGTATGCTATATCTAGTTACTTACTATTCTACTTCTCTTATACTTAAGTAATAAAATTATACTATCTATAATAAGAAACTACTTATAGTAATTAAATATATTAAAATATAGATAGTAGAGTTATAAAGTGTTTTTAAGCTATTTATAATTTTAATAGATTATAAAAACTTAGAATACTTTACTTCTGCTAAGTTACTAATAGAGCAGCAATAGTAATAGATAGAGAAACTTTTAGCTTTTTGCTTTTATCTATAATTTTAACCTAGAAAGTTAGCAGGCAGGCTAGATACGTTAAGCTAATACAAATAGAATATAAAAGAGTATATTAAATAAGCTAGCTGCTATATAGTACTAATCTCTATCTAGTCCTACTTCTATATAGGATATAACTATAATACTAGCAGAAAGTCTATTATTTATAGATAGGCATATGCAAGAACTTTAGAACTAAGCTATTTATAAGAATGCAGTATATCTGCTATAGTTATAGGCAGTATAATAAGAAGCTAGGCAGTTCTTACTAAAAGCTAAGATAAACTAGTAGGTAGCTAACTATACTATCTCTGCATATAGAACGCTGTAATAGCGTAGAGTTACGTAGCTCTTATCTTAGAAATCATACTAGACTACTATAGTAATCTAATAAGTATATAAATTAAACTTTATAGAATACGCAGAAAAAAATAGAACTTTCTAAATACTACGCAGAGATTACTATTAAGATAGAATATTATCTAATATAGTATAATATATAAGAAATTACTATTACTATAGCACTTATACTTTAAGGTTAAAGAAGCAGAGCCTATTATAGCTCTTACTAGCAGTAGATTAATACTAGTTCTAAATTTCTATAAACTTTATAGTAAACTTACTTTAGGCTAACTTAGCTATACTATAATATCTTCTTATTATTATAGACTATCTTTCTAAGTATATCTAGTTAAAAGCTATAGTAATAATAAGAGCTAAAGAATACGTAGAGTATTTTAAGGACGTATAGTAGCAATTCTATAGCTTCTCTATAAATATTATAATAGACTAAGAGTTAAACTAGCTAAGAAGATTCTAGAGTATACTCTATAAGCTTATAAATATTTAGTAGCTTCTCTTAACTGCGCATTATTCTTAGATAGATAGAGATATAGAGAGAGCTAACTAAGAAGTTTAATTAGTTCTAAGAGTAATAATTAACTTTTCTTAAATAAACTAGCTCTAATATCTTATAGCTTATTAGCTTACTCTTAATAATAGAGACTCTACTATTACTAGAATAAGTCTAAACCTCTTACTAAATAGCTATACTCTATTACTTATTTAGAAACTAGATAACTCTCTATCTTTAACTATAACTCTAAAAGGCAGAGTAGTTTAGTTTATAGAATATCTATAAAATAAAATAGTAATAGCTTAAGCTGCTATTATCTTTATATAATAATAGCAGCAGAAGGCTATAAACTGCCTATAAAAGCTAGCAGAATAATTCTAGGTTAGAGATAAAGTATAGTTTTTAATATATAATATAAAAATAGTATAGAAAAGTAGGAAACTAGACTAGCTATAGGCTAAATATATAGTTATAGCAGTCTCTATATCTTTAACTATTATACTAGACCTACTAGGCAGACTGCATAAAACTATTTATATAGATTTAGTAAAATAAGTAGAAAATAACTCTCTACTTAGCTAAGTTCTTAAAGATGCTAGACTAGAGCTAGCCTTAGAGTTAGAAGAAGAGAATAAAATACTGCAAGAATAAAAAGTAGAGAAAATTTTATAAGAAAAAAGTATATAAAGATAAAATAAAAAGCAGGTCTTAATAAAATAAAAAAGCTAGCTTAAACTAATATAGCATCTAAAAGAAGACTTCTTAGATATAAAAGCTTTATAAAAATTTACTACTATAATATTACTAAAATTATAATAAGATAGATAGATAATTTAAGTCTAAAAGTAAGTATTATTTAGTTAAGCTCTAAAGAGTAACTAGCTTAAAGCTAGCTAAGGTATATAAAGCACTTAATATTTAAAATAAGCTACTCTAAGTTCTTCTTATTAAACACCTCCTTAGAAGTAAAGCAGGTTTTCTTTAGATCTAGAATAGAATAACTAAGGCTACGCTTAATATTAGTAATAGAATAAGAATCTCTAATTAACTAGTAAATAAGTTAGCATTAATTTCTAAACTAGTAATAGATAAAGAAAACTTACTTAGTAAGTCTTACGTAGCTCTTTAATAATATGCTCCTAGCTAATAGTAAGGCAGATGTTAGTCTTACTAAGAAACTAGAAGACTAGTATTAGAGCGGCAGCGTTACCTTTACGCTTAAAGAGAGTGCTAAAGCTAATGAGGGCGGTAGACGGAGCTGAACTGCTGCCGGCGGATGCTGTGGCGATAGCGGTCAGGGCTTGGGCATGGGAATCCTTGTAGTCACGGCGAGCGGCATGGAACTGCAAATAATCAGCAACGTCGCCGGAGCGGCTGCGTCCGGATCCGGGACCTTATGCATCCGAAGCTACAGAAGGCATCACATTTTATTAGATTCTGTTACACTATGCACACGCTTACTTCCTTCTTATTAAATGCCGAAAACGTTGCGACAGCTAAAATCAGGAACGATATTTCGATATCGAAGTATCGTAAACTACAGTACTTTGAAGGACATTCAGACACTGCACTGAGTGCGAACAAGTGCCGCCTAGAGACAGGATCTATGAGATCGTGTTCCTCGATATGTGCATTCCCCTCGGCTGGACTATTCTCCATGTCTAGTGTGTCCTTCTAGAATCAAAGCCGGAAGCCCACGGAACGGCCGTACTGCATTTATATGGCGAATGTGCTAGTCTAGAGTAGGGCCGACCTTGGGACCCAAGCGCTAATAGGTTTTCTGCACAGTAATATTATGGTTCGAAGTTACCCAACTCCGTGTCAAAAACTTGAGCCCCTACTTTCAATTTTTATCCCCTTGGTTCAACTTCCAGTGCATGGCAGACGCACAAGATGGCCGAAGTAGCGACACTTTTCAACGAAGATTGGGAGTTCCAACGCTCTGGACAAACTGGCTGGAGCAACGTACATCTTCCTCACGATGCTATGCAGGTAGAAGGGCGGCGGGAAGACGCCCTCGCTGGAACTCATAGCGGATTTCATCTCGGCGGAATGTACAAGTATCGCAAGATATGGCAAGCGTCTACTTCTCTGGAGTCCAAAGTGGTCGCTTTGAGCTTTGATGGCGTTTACCGGCACAGTCGCGTGCTGGTGAACGGCACAGACGTCGGCGGTTGTCTTGCGGGCTGGACCAAGTTTGAAATTCGCGTAGACTCTTACCTGAAGCTCGGCGAGAGGAACACCATCGAAGTACATGCCGATAACAGTGAACAACCTAACGCTCGCTGGTACAGCTGGAGCCGGAATTCATCGCAGCGTTCATCTCATGGTTCGAAACCACAATCTTCTTTGCAAGGACGGGATCAGGCTGGCAACGCTTTCCGCCAGCGGAGTTGCTCTTCTCACATTCGAGGTTTTACTCGACAACGAAAAGAAGGATGACGTTGAAGTATCTCTCGAGCTTGCGAGACGAGGAAGGAACGCGATCCAGTGGAGAACGAAAACGAAAACTTCTGAATTGAAGCAAAACTTCGAGATATCGAACCCAGATCTGTGGTCGGTTGAGACCCCGAATCTCTACGACTGCACTGTCGTCATCAACGGCGATCTCTATAAGTTCAAGTACGGTCTGCGCACTCTGGAGTTGAAACCTGGTCATGGATTCTTGGTTAATGGCCAGGCTGTGAATTTGCGTGGTGGTTGCATACACGCAGACAACGGTATCCTCGGCGCAGCATCGTTCAAAGCTGCTGAACTACGACGCGTGTCGATCATGAAGAAGAATGGCTTCAATGCTATTCGTATGTCGCATCATCCATGCTCAGAAGTTCTTCTACAAGCATGTGATGAGGTAGGCATGTACGTCATGGATGAGTTTGCCGACTACTGGTACCAGGCAAAGTCTAAATATGACGATTCCAACACCTTCAATGAACGTTGGGAGTACGAAGTCGCTTCTCTTGTAGAACGAGCCCGTAACCACCCTTCAGTTATTATGTACTCTTTAGGCAACGAGGTCACTGAGCCAAGTACCGCCTACGGACACACGATCGCGAAGAAGCTCCTGGATCTCACGCACAAGCTGGATCCATCCCGACCTAACACTATCGCGGTCAACCTTACGCTGGCCATGATGACGTATTCAAAAATCCCGCCGGGGGATCCAAACACTCCTCCTGCAGATAACAAGGGCGGCCTGGGGGATTTGACCTCCAGCTCTTTCTTCAACATCATCGCTAGCATGTTTCTCTCAATCTTGCGGTACATTCCAAAGTTCAATCACGCCAATGTTGTGACCAATCGACTCTATTCGTATATGGATGTTGCGGGATACAATTATGGAGACATCCGGTACCCATTGGATGCCAAATTACACCCATCAAGGATGATGCTCGGTACCGAAACCTTTCCACCTGATCTTCCCATGATCTGGTCCAACGTTGAAAAGATTCCAAACCTGATAGGAGACTTCATGTGGACAGGATGGGACTACCTTGGCGAGGTAGGCATTGGTTTGCACGATTATGAGGCAAGCAGGTTTACCCCTGTAACATTGTACAAGCCTTGGCCACATATAGTAGGGGGTTGCGGTGCTTTAGACATCACTGGCGTGCCCAATGCTTCGGCTTTCGTAGCCCAAGCATGCTGGAAATTTTTACCTCAACCCGTAATTGCGGTACGTCCATTGGATGTATCGAGCTTGTATTACAAGGCGACGCCCTGGCGAAATTCCGATGCGATCGAGGGCTGGGGCTGGAAGGGTTGTGAGGGCCAGAAGGCTTACATCGAGGTCATTACTCAGGAAGAGGAAGCAGAACTTTTCCTAAATGGCCGCTCGCTTGGGCGCGCAAGTAGCAACCAAGCTAACAGATACACCGCTAGATTCTTGACAGCTTACGAGCCTGGCGAACTCCTTGCTGTTGCATACTCTGGCGGACAGGAGCGTTCGCGCTCCACGCTCCGCTCCGCTAACGTTGCTTCAGTCAAGATTGTCAACGAGAAGTCCGGTGAACTTGTCGCAGACAGACAAGATCTAGCGTACCTTGAACTTCAACTCGCTGATCAGGATGGAAACATCGAGATGAACGACGACGATGCCCTAACCGTTGAGGTACATGGAGATGCCACTCTAGCAGCGCTTGGATCCGCATACTATAAGAATCTAGGCCACTTTGACAGCAATGTTCATAAAACATGGCGAGGGCGAGCCTTGGCAGTGATACGTTCCGGCAGCAGCTCTGGAGACGTTGTCGTTACTGTAAGCAGCGTAAGGCATGGATCTTCGTCGGTTACAATTAAGCAGAGAGCTTAGTAATATCATGTATCTATCTCTAAAAGCATGCCTATACAACCTATCTACGTTTAAGTAACTATGTTATTTCTGCCAGAATTAGCCTATAGCATAGTTTCTACTCTTTATCTTTAGCGCTAGCTATGGTAAATTTTCGAGTGTTCCCCGAACTTAGGCGGTATATGTTTGCATGTAATTCTCGTACGAGGGCTGAGAGAGCTAGTCAACTCGTCGAGTACAAAGAAAAGGAACCGGGTTTGATGGAGGTGCTAGAGAGTGATATCTCGGACTTTATGAGGGAAAGCAAAATTTTGAATGCTCTTTACTACCTCTAATGCAAAAAAGCGCAACCGCTTATGGCTGATATCTACTGCTATAGTATCGTGCTTGCCTCTATCAAGACATTGTAGAAATAAGTAGAAAAGCTAGGGCCACTTTTGTTCTGACCGCATGTATAGAAATTTCAAAATGTAACGTCAGTTAGAAGCTTATCTCTAGCACGTCAGGCTCTATTATTCCTTCAGCCTTATCTTTTTGCCGCTTTGCAGTGCATTTCTGCTCTTCTTAATTGAACCTCGCCTTGCCATCGTTCTTGTTTCCACACATAGCCGGTAGTTTGCAGTGTGTGCACGCAGAATTATATCGGGGTCACCTGTCGCGTGCAAACAGGTAATAGCTCTTCGCAATTCGTGGCTTTGCCAGTCGCGAATGTCCCCAAGTTCACGTTATGTTCCGGTGGCCGCAGTAATTTATTGCATTGCATATGATGTTAAACTCCGTTCGCCAGCCTTTACCCGGATACGAAGGGAAAATAGTAAAGCCGAGAATTTTAGAGTGCCTGGATAGTGTAGCTCAAATCGGTTCCGACCTCTTATATCTATGTCTTGTTCATGATAATTATTCGACTCCAAACACAAGCCCTGCACCTCACCTCTGTGTAGTAAAAGATTCAGTCAATCGAATCTTGCTTCAATTATCGACATGAGGCTTACTCTTACCCTCTCCCTCTTAGTCTCTTCGACTATCTTTTCTTCGGCGCAAGTACTGACAGCGCCGTCATCTACTTCTACTACCCGTCCAAGCCCAACTTATGATCCGCTCTGCACACCACCGGCTTATGCTTGCCCTTCTGGCCTTTCTTGCTCTGGAATTCCGGGGTGCATCATGAGTAACTGTCCTGGGCAGTGTAGACGGAGAACATCCCCCACGATTGAGACGGCACCGACAACGATCTAGGAAAAGAAATTTTTGAGAGTTCTCATTACCAAGGATAACAAGATGGCCATAGTGATGGGACTTGTTATGTCGAACAATAAGCAGTGTCAATGTAGGTATAAAACCTTACAATTCAATCGAGTTCTTCACCAAGTGCCACCACAAGGGTTGGATCCATCTAGCGGATGGACTGCAGGCGACTGACAGAGAGGTTGACTATCGATTTCTGATCAATCTGGCGAGACGTGTCAAGTGCCAAGCAGACTTCCTCGAAGATGCCACGTTTAGAATAAGTGGCATTGAGCCTCGAGGCCAAGGAGCGCTCTGCATATAATCGCACAAAGAGTCTTTGAATTGCCGCGACAGGCGGGCGTTCAGGTAGATTGGAGACCGGGGTTACGCCTGCTGTTCTAGCCTCTTGTGAAAGTTTCTGATATGCTTATTCAGGAGTCACGGCTGTCAGGTCCATGGCATCGAGGGTCTTATTCTCCTGAGGGAAGATTGTAAAGGTCGTGGGTAGATCAACTTGGAATGTTGGATTTGAGGATTGTTGGCACGTTATTGCGGTTTACATTATGCTTCCCTCGATGCATATGCTGAGTGATAGTCAAAAGAGTAAACCATGAGTTAAAATAGTTATTTGGGAACGAAAATACCCTAGATGGTTGCAGGTATGTAATCGCTTTAAAATTACGCTGACTGGCGCTGAGCCACACGACTGGTTGCAATCTTTGTACAGCAGATACATTCCAGCGCGTCTTATGTATCCAAAAGACGGCATGGCCTGCGATCACAGTAGTAATACTTGGGATTGTGCTTCCGTCATTGTGCGACTGGCCAATTGTTGCACTTCGCGCGCGCAATACGCTAATCCCTCCTAGGTTCCCGAGCACTCCGAAGAAGCTGGTTTTGGGTGATAGACCGGCCCTGGTGGTCAGTGTACCAACATTGGCGCATCACTCACCCAACACTGGCTCCTTCGTAGATCGGTGCCGTGTCCGTACTTTCCTGAGTGCGGACACGGCACTCAGGAAAGCACCATTAAGGCGAGTTTGCAGTCAGCTCCCCACGTCAGCGTTATGATCAGCAGCAGTAGCATCATTCTGCTCGTTGAAAGGCAACAGAACTCTTCGTTAAGCATCGGGGCAATCAGGTTAGTTATGGACGCGCAAAACGAGAATTTTTCCACCCGAGCTTATAATGAACTATTTTGATAATGAAGACAGTGACGCGCAACACTTGCTACCTAACGGATATAACGACTGATTCTAGGTAGGCATACTTAAGTATAAATATACAGAAATACTCCTGGACCTCCGAAACGGCACCGCGCTGCTGCCCACAAGGCCAAAGATGCAAGGCAGGGATTCAATCAAAGTATTTGACTAACGGTAGTACATGATATCGAAGCTGAAGTGGAAGCTCGACATTCAATGGTCTTCGCCTACCATACACGATGGAATTCTCAACTATTCGCGGAGATACCAGCAAAAGTTCCTAGCCCATAGTCATGACTACAACTCATCATGCTCATCACGCTCATGCGCAGACGGATAATTGCCTTGTTGAACAATGAAACGCCGTGGGTGGGCCGCCGTCCTTCGAGCCCACGCTGTTGCACCCCTGGACACGACCTCAGAATTGGGGATTTCCGTCATGATCCTAGCCATGTCTATCCCAACAACACCCCGTGCGAGTTTTGCGAGATTGAAGCTTCCTGACACAGAAGCTTCGCCAGCAACAATGATTGCGCGAACATCCTGGCGCTTGTAGAATCGGGCATCCATTTCATCCAGAAATTCTTCTAGTGTAGTCCTGAAACGTTGATTATAAGCTTCAAAACCGATGGTCTAGATCGCGATCAGTCGAAATTCAATCAGCGCGGGGGGTACGAGGGCCTTGCCTCACGATACCTTTCTCCCGGTTCCCGAATGAAGCGCTTGCAATGGACAGAGCAGATTCCCATCTCGAAATCTACAACCTGAATCCAGATATACAGCCATTCTCGCTCATACTCCAAGGTCAGGATCAGGTTCTCAGGGCCCTCATCTTTGCACTCTTCCATTTGGCGACCCAAGTTTTTGCACTCATTGAACCCGTAGGCTGCATAGGCAGCTTGCTCGGCGGGGCTTCCTTACTTGCTCGTTCTGGAGTATACGGCGGGAAAACCATCTCCGTGGCAGGTGTCGGAAATGACCAATCGAATACAGAGGAGATGAAGAATGCATGAACATCAGGGAATCGTTTGACTCCAAGTTGCTTCTCCCAAGCCTCGATTGCAGGTTTTATAGTGCTGTTAATGATGACTTCTTGACTGTGCATGTCGCGTTGATCGCCGACTGAGGCTCCGAAAGTAAGGACCAACGACTTGTAGTACTCCTGGAATGCCATAGTGGTTGGGTATTGAGAATCTCGAATGAATCCGAACCATTGTAGCGGGACGCATATATTGTCGTTAGTACAACGGAGTTCGCGAACGGGCTTTCAGACGCAAATGCAATCACATTCACGATAGAAAAGGCGAACGGAATGATCGTGGTTAAAAATCTCATGTTGCTGCAGATTTGGTCTTGGGCAAAAGCAGACAGAAGATAACCGCAATAGAATGATACAGGTTTTCGTGTGTTGCCAAGGCCGCGTAGGCACTGTGAGAAGGCGTACTACGCTACAACACTAACGGTACTTTTGACGCCTACGCGAGCTTTGACCCAATTCTGGCGCTTCTAGCTTGCAAGTTCATGGATAATTGTTCCATTATTATCATATTCAGAATGTGTGCACCTCCTCTCCAGCTTAACCATATAAGGAGCAGGACACCTCCGTATGCTCCTATTAGCAGATTTCCTTATAGATATTAATAAGGGCCTAGATAGCCGTTAACAGATGTCACTTTTAGACTGAACTGTATAATTCTAACCTCTAAAAAGGCTGCTCGCTTATAATATCATCAGGTACATTATCATTCTTCCCTAGTACATCATTGTTCGTCATAGACATTCTTAGAACAGCTGAATTAGGGGGGGTGCGCATCTTCTGAATAGCACCGATATCAATCCAAGTCTGACTTCTCCATGCACAGTTCTCATAGACTATCGACTGATTCGGGTGGATGGCAATGACAACGCATGCATAGCCGCTGGCGTCGGGCGTAAAAGAGATGGAAGCCCGTGATTCAACTTTCATGTTGGGGCTTGGAGTAAAGTTACTTGGCAAAATGAGCCAACACGTCCAGTATGCCCCCGGACCCCGAATTTGTTCACTCCCTAGGTATTAGACTCTAAAGCTTCTGCAAAGAGCACGGTACAACGCGTTTAGAATTATATAATACTTCAAGCTTTCCTTGAATGGCCTCACATTGTCAATGCCGGCAAAATAGCGTCATTGTTGACTTCAAACCGAGAGCGACGACAATGACTTCTGACCGGCGGCAGGTATGCGAGAAGCCGAATGATGATACCACATATGTTAGCTGCGACCATAGGGCTGTCATCAGATCGTGCTGCGGGTTGGATTGTTGGCGCCGAGACGCATTTGGGATGACAAAAGTTACTTTCGTCAGCTGGGGTAAAATTAGTCTTTGAGACCATCAATTTATCAGACCTCACGCAGTTGAAACGAGGTGCAAAGTAAGGAAGCGGCACAGTGCTTTGATGACCGAGAGGCGTTGGGCGGCAAATTTACTCTAGATCCGTCAGTGTATATAGTTTCATCCGTCGCGGAGTTGATGATGCATCATCAGCAACAAACTAATCCATTCAGACCCGTACCATGCGAACAAATTTTTATCGGCTGTCATGTATCGCACAGATCCTAACGCTCACATTACTTTCCAGTATAGCATACGCAACCCCTCTTCAAACTGCCCATGTTCTACCAGAACACACTTCTATCTGAAGGCGTGATGGATGGAATTGGAAGGTGGAGGATCTCAATAAAGAGTTTTCCGGCATACACTGGAACACTGGAACGGAGCCTTCTCCTCCTGCTCCTCGGAGCAGCTCGACAAGATTATCTTCGCCACACACGCCGCAGTGTAGATGGCTGCTCTGCCAGTCCATCCTTCAGTTTCTATGGCATACTCTGAAACTTGGCGAAAGTATTTTGGACAGTACAGTTTATGGCTCCAGAATGGGATCAGCGATCTTCAGTTGTCTGCGACAATTCAAAGTACGCTACTCAGGCTATTTGATGGAAGGCAGTCCTGGCAAATACAGTGAACATCAGATGGGTTGCGAATTACCCCAAGAAAGGACATAAAAGAAGTCCGGAGAAATTGATCAAGAAGATCTACTTTACATGCGATTATCAGCAGCATGGTACGGGACCTTACAATAGCTGTACCCTTCGCAAAGCGTAAGTCTTGTCATCAGCCCTTTCCAGATTGATCAGCATAAATATATGGTCCTGAAGCTGACCAGCCAAAAGTAGTGCACGTACTATCGACAGTACTTCTAGCGCCTGTAAGTCAGCCCATGAAACCCGTTCGTATAATGAGGCAATTTCACTGATACTTCGTGCGCAGATCGCGCCTGGACGATCCTATTCTGCCCTGGATTCTTTTCGAACGACAAACAAAAAAACCTGGAGGAGCGAACGAGAGGCAAGGTCAGAGGTCCAAATTGGATTGCCTTTGTAGACACCTATAAGCGGGCTATTGTCCATGAATTAATGCATGTAGACTAGATAAAGACTACAGATTATAGGAAGAGGAAATGTTTCAGTGCAAAACCCAACTTTCCGATCACTAACACTAAACCGTCGGTAGTTATGGATGCCAAAGGCCATATAACAGAAGAAGGTCTAAAAGTAGACATCTGTAGCTCATCAAATTGCAAGGAATTTGCGCAGCAAAATATAGCTAGGAAGAGAGTGAACCGTAAAGTCGCAGTCCATAGTAGCATCCGCTATCTCCCCGGCTATGACCTAGCTAACTGTACCATACAGCCGATAGCTACGCCTAGTTCCTTCAGTACTACTAGTAAAAAAAGAATTAGGGCCAGGACAAAATCCCACACGAAGAGCTTCGAAAATCAGATGCAGTCTTTGAAGATCGTCCACCAGCGCAAGAGCTCATCATTGCCCCAGATCCGTCTTTCCCTATTAATAAAGAAGCAGTTGTATTCAGCAGGAACGCACTACAGAGTTGCGTGATCCTCGAACAGCAGTTAAACGACAAAGGAATCCCAACAATCACACGTAAGGATATTAGCAGAGATTGCAACAAATAGGTAAAGGACTTAGCACCGCTAGTGACTTCCAAGGGCGGGTGCGAGTTGAGGTAATTTTTGCTAAGCACGATCGATACTTAAGGCACGCCAACTTCAGAAAAGCTATCGATGCCAGCAGCTAACAGGCAACGCAGTTAATCCCAAGTGCCAGTGTATTTGTGATGGAAAACTAGTCCTATTGCGGGACGAGGAGTGTGCAGAGTTTATAGGTAGAATTCCAGGGCGACCTTCGCAATGAGGCATGACGCTAACTGAAAGAGATGAGCTGAGATTTTAGCATATTTAGCTATAGCTGCCTCGCATGCTTTCTAGGTACGACATAGTAAAACTACACAGAAGTCAACAGCGAATAATTGCCTGTGTCCTAGGGCTTATCAAATATCATTTTTGGTTACGTTTGCAAAGATTTCCCTTGTTTTACAGTAAGCTTTTACTCCTCTCGTGAATGTATATACAGTTCTTTTGCCAGTTCAGTAGAAGAAAAGTGTATCTATAGGCCGCACGTGAGCGACCTCTTTCTCTGACGCAAATAAAGCCAATCGTCTTATTCCACAACTACATACATACTAGTAAGCTAAAGGTTCCAGAAGCGCTAAAATCGAGGTGACCTTTCATATGTATTCTTGTATGAACACCTGCTTATACTCTGGAAACCAGAGATCGATCCGCAGTCGGTAGGAGGATAGTAGATTTCAGCATCTAGTTAGCGTTTCGATGATTATTGGTAAGGTCCTACTCCATTAGAGGGAGACTACCTAATATAAGAATTGCTTACTTTATCATTCGATCACGTGCGCAACTACTACACAAGTATAGATAGGGAGTGCTCCGACGCGTCTGACCTCCGCCTTGGTCGCGAGCAAGATGTTAAGGTCTAGTCGGCTGCAAATTCGAGATGCGAGTGAAGATTGCGGCCTTAGGGAAGCTCGAAAACTTGTTTGTCGCCAGCTGGAGCCCGTGCACGGTTTAGAGACAGCTGTGTTTCGTTGAGACTCCGGGAGGGCGGCATGGTCATTGACCGCTGGAGGTACATCAACCAGATAGTGATCCTAGGGCGACAATCTCCTCGCGGTCGAGCCCGTCCGCTTGCGCGAAGTAGTCCCTCCGGTTCGTGAGTAACCTAAGAGGTCCAGCGTCGCGTCGCCGATCCGCCATGAAATCGCAATTGTAATGAGTGTGACCGAACGCCCAAACTTTGAAATTCTTGTTTTGGAAGCATGGCTGGCTAGACAGATCCGTCGAGAAGCCACTGCTGATTGGACTCGCGCTATGCCTGGGATCGACCGAGCGAACGTCAGTGGATGGACTCCAATGCGAGAGGACGATAGTTGTCGTGTCCAATTGCTCCAGATGAGCGACTTCGGCATTGAGCCAGGCAATAGCCCGCAAGTGTGCCTCATTATGCGCTTGAACATCCCAGCTGTCGATTTGGAAGAAGTCGTTGAGGCCGAAGCTGACCGCCTGTTCCTTTTCAGGTGGGATCGAAGAGAAGAGACTACAGCCTAAGATAGTAACGCTGGTGTCTGGGATCCGGAAGGTAGCGCAGTCGAGCAGTACGAATTCTTCCAACGATGTATCCTCTCTGACGTCCTACTCGAAGGCGCGAAGCAAATCGATGGTCGTGGCCCAATCAGAATGGTAGGCTTCGTGGTTGCCGGGTACGAATAGCACCGCACGGAACTGTCTAGATTTCCGCTTCAAGAAAGCGGTGAAATCGCCCTTGTGCGATACGACGTTGCCAATATCTCTGATGAGCGCAAGATAAGGTGCTTTCGGGGTGATTTCGAAGATGTCGTATGCTTTCGGAGCCTCCAGATGGACGTCAGAGAGAATTTGCAGCGCCATCAATTGCCGGGTGCGAGGATTGAAGTCGCTTTGGATTTCTCGTAGTACGTAGGTGACAAGTTGCGAAAGGTGGGCGAAACAGTGGGCAAGGTGATGGGAAAAGTGGGGCCGCAATGACGCGACGCGTTCAAGCACCAGCAGCTCTTCTCTCGACGTCGCTCGGAGTTGCACCCATATGTGCATGCTCCGTACAGACTTCGCTGCTATCCTCGCAAGCGGGACCAAGCATGGGGGATGCACATACTCTGAGCGCTAACGCTGGCGTGTTAACGCCTAAAGAAGCACCCGCAGCAGTACAGCACCCGCGATGTCAGAGCGTCTGCGTCTATGTGTACAAGGCAGATGATAAGGCCGGGGGATAAGAGATTGGGTACTGAGCCGATTTACAATAATCATCGAAGTCGCAGAGGGCTGTTGGCTGTATGGGGTTGACGACTAACAATGGAGTAACCAACGTCCTCAGCAATTGAAAAAGGCCGGAAACGTTGTATGTAGGGTGTTTTACATTGCTTCCTAGCGCATACAATCGAAAACTACAGAGGTTTTTTTGTGATGACAAGTCCAATCAACCCGTCTAAACTCAGATCTCGGTCATTTCGCTCGTACGCGCCAGGAAGCAGTACATCGAGAGTAATACCATACTTCCTCAAAAACATCATCTAGACAATCCCTTCTAGCTAACAGTCCTAACTTTTCGCTTTCTTTGTGTTACTACAGCTATCCTAGTAATTCGCGTTAGGGTATACGTAGTGGGTTCTCTAGCTCTTTACACTGCTCTCTTGCAAATCGTTGTTTGCAAACTTAGTTCTGATTAAGCTATTTCGTGCGTACTTTGTTGCTGTCGCACAACAGAGATATCACATCAGGCTATCAGACGCTCATTGTACCTAGAGATCAGATTCGCTATTTCTTAGGCGACGCATCGATCATGATAGCATCAACCAAGCACGACTAAACAGCTAGACTAATTCATGTAAACTATATCATCTGAACACATGCAACGATTTTTTTCAGCACTAAGACGCCGCAGAAATAAACTCATTGATATCCCCTTTCATGAATTTAAGCTTTATCTAATCCTGAGAGCTAGCGTTAGCCTTGCGACTGAAATATTTCCATAGATTGCGCAAGTTCGTAGAAAACCATGCTGCATCTCTCAATTGGAGCTAAAAGAAGTGCTGTCGTGGACCCCTCTATATAGACTACCTGGATCAGAGAGTCTAAAATGGTAACAGTATCTTAAAGCTTATTCTGAAGTCTGTCTAATATTAAGCATGAGATGATTTGGTGAAGCGAATTAGTTAACGTAACTATAATGTCGAGTGAAGACGGTATGGATAGGGGCGATATGTTGCTGTGCAACACACTGAAGGTAGCTCTTTACGGTCGACCGAAAAGATCTTCCACGACTTGTCTCATTTTAAATTCGTTGCTTCATAATTGAGACTGAACCACGCCAGCGCTATCCTAACCTCATTTGGATTCCCGTATGCAAGGCTAAAGTGGCGAGTATTTAGGCGAACTCTGCGTAGCCAACCAACGGCGATCGAGTATCTTAGTGTAAATATAGCATCCAATCAAGTGCCACCGGAAGCCCAGCGTGCAACATACGTGAAGCATCAAAAATGTATTCTCCTGTCTACCGAACTCGAACATCTCTGTTGTGTTCCCCTTGTAGTGTGTTTGACACCAGTGAAACAACTTTGAGACTATCTTAGCTTCATAGTAGCTTTCTGAAAGGGCGAGGTGTATATCACTGTGAAGATTTGGAGCATAGTCTGGAAAATGAAGGGGATTTATAAAGACTGAAGTTTTGTTATCTGCAATAGTAAAAATGGCTTTCATTAGTATACGCTTCTTGTTCTTCATCCTCTCAGCGCTTCAATTACATCTCTCGATTTACAACCCTACCTATGGCTTCTTGGTAGCAGCTGAATCTATCAATACATTGACTTTAGCATCAAGTTCAAATGATCTTGCAGACTTTGGCCAAACCATTCCCATTTTGGGCCAGGTAAGCATTTGAACTTCCGCAGCTATAACTTGCGGAATCCGTGCCCACACTTTCTTCAACAATTATCACTTCGTGTCTTTGCGTACTAAAGCTGTAGCAGATGGCCCGCACCGACCAAGATTTCAAGGACGGCCTGGCACTCGATCTCTTCTCGCCGCGGAATCGAACCCTCATAGTGGAAAAAAACCCGTCTCCGCTGCCCGGAAAATTCGTCAGCGGCAGTACGGGTGAGCCCTTCGTCGCATTGTCCAACTACTCGTGGGTCATCAAAGTCAATGACACAGCGCGAGACTTGATCGCGAAGGTCGAGCTACCATACGAGCCTGAAAATGTACAGAACAGGGGTTTCGATGTAGCGAATACGTATGTCGGCGTTCTAGCGAAGGATGGGCAGAGTTGGGTGGTGGATGAAACGAGGCGGAATGTTCATGTGTAAGATCTGGCCATCCGCTCATACCTGCACCATGTTAGAAGACTCGTGGATAGTGTGCTAACCAACAGCGCATGAATAGTTCAGAGAACAAGACTCGCATCATCAAATTGACATCTCTGGATGGCGAATATATCCTGCTTGGTCGCAAGACCGTCGACACAGCTAATATATTTGTCCAGTACGGCTTCGGCGCAACACGAACTGTAAACCTAACAGGAGGCAAGGGCATCCAAGGGGCGGAGTTCGTGGACGGACTTCGAATTTCCCTAGAATCCGAGAAAGATATGCGACTAAACATCGACCTAAAGAACGGCGTTGATGAGAAAACAGTCCCCAGTGGAATGTGGTCGCTGAGTATGCTCCTCTACCCCAGGCCAAAGCCTGCAGCTCCACTTCTCTCCTCTAACACTTGCGCTTTAGATTCCTTCGCCTGGGCCATGAACACTAGCTCGTCAAGCCAGCAGCTCAAATGTGGCTCCGTTCGTTTCCCCATCAATTTCAGCGCGTCGATAAGAGATACCAAAATTATGGTTGCTAAGCGCGATCTGGGCGCCTCATCTTCGACAAGTTTCGACCCTCTCCCTCAAAGGTCGCATGAAGTGAATTGTCGACCGGACTGCAGTGTTACCGTGAAAGATCTGCAGCAGCTGGACGGGGAATATATCGTTTTGGCTGCGGGAAACGAGATAGCAGAAGAGGAGAAGGGAGCTTTGAAGGAACAGGTTAACAACCCACAAGCATCTAGTGCAGGTATAAGTCTACGTGGAATTGAGAACTGGGCTGGGATGGGGGTGGTACTGTGTACGAGCGTATTAGTTTGGCTTCAGCTGGTGTATTGATGGATCTTTGTCTTCGCGCAGTCTCTACGTCGTTCATGTTGCGCATAATCTCTAATGATAGATACCTGGTTTGCAGTGCCTTTGACAATTCTATCTCGATAGTTCCATTTGCCATTTTTGTTGCATGATGTGCACCCGTTTCGCATTTTGTTCTCTATGCCTATACCCTAATCTTGCAGCTATATTCAGTGAGTTTAGCTAACAGCAACGTTTTTGAGAATGAGTTACAATTTCTCCTCCATCAAAGGTTGCTCCGCAGATCCAAAAAATTATTCATTTCGTCTGGAGCTTCTGTCATACTCTCCTATTCGTCGACCATGTCAAAGAACATTCACAGCAGCCAAGGAGCTGTTCAGCTTACCAACACCCGTGTTTCGCTTCCAGTCTTCTTTTTCCTCTTCCGAATCACAATAGTGAGTAAAACCAGCAGTGCTACACCGGCTAGAAATTGATCAGCACTCAACTTTAATACATGATCTGTGGATAGATCGAGAGCTTTACCTACCTATGGAACCCAAAATTATGAGGAATATTCTAGCCGTCTCATTCATCAACAGACCATCTTCTGGTCTTTTGATATCGCTGCCTGGCTGTGGAGCTCCTGCTAGTCCTGTACCCATAGGCACAGCTGAAGGCGTCACAAGCATAGTCTGCGGCACTGCAGAAAGGAAAATTGTCTTAGTTGCCGGAGGTGACGTCTCTCTATCACCTTCCGTCGGATGTAGCGTGCTAACTATAGTAACGAAGACTGTTCTTGTTGGACTGCTAGATTTTGCTCCGCTTGTGGTTGTTGTCGATGCAGTCAGGGAGCTCCTAGAGCGCCTCGGTGAGAATGGGTCGGTAAAAGCTGTTGATCTGGGACTTGGTGTTCTGATCAGGGTTATGGTAACTTCTGTTGCAGGCTTAAACGCTTCCGGTGTATGTTGCTGCAACGCATCTTGGTCGTTGATGGCTCGTTGGATTAGTCGGAATGGTATTGGTCTCCGCCCACGATTGATGCCCGGAGACATTTTTGTGGAGAGAAGTTGATGGATAGACTCTTCTTGATAAGAATTCCAAGAACAGCGAGATACTACACACGCGTTTTACTGGGATAAGTGCGTCGTGTGGAGGAGTTGGTGCTTTGGTTATCGATCTCGCGTGCAGAGTGCATGCCAGGGGACTCCGAACGGCTCTCGCAATTAATCGATACTGCTATTTCGGAAACAACTAGGTGAGCCCTAGATTCCTACAACACTATTTTTCTTCGGATCTTTCAATATCCGGGGAAGCGATCGATGTTACTCCAAGAGGAATGGGGTACGGAACCATCTCCTCAAGCCACAAGCTTCATACCTCATCCGAAACCCATGATTGTGTCCTGGAACATTTCCAGCTATTTGGAATCATTATTGATTCTACACTTGACAGGCACGTGGTGGTTTTGGTGCTGTTGGTCGAGACGTTGATAGCGCCACGGGTGTTTCACGTTAGTTCCTATCACAACGCGCTCTCTCCACACTCCGCGTGTTGCAACTACTGGTCTAATCGAAACAATTGACGATCGTGAAGCAAAACTATGCAGTGCTAAGGTCAGAATGCGGACCGTGAGAATGCTTGCGCTAACGACGTTTTTGCCTCCGATAGCAAGTAAGCACTTACGCGGCTTATCGTCCAGCCCCTTGATTCGCTTAGTGCAGTCATCGTGTCCGACACGAAACCCAGCGTCTTTTTGATAGCTCGTTAAACACATATTCGAAGAATATGACTATGTGATTCCTGTCTCCTTGCATTCTGTTCCCATGAGTTCAGTTGAGGTTCACTATCACAATATGGCTTCATTTTCACCAACATCCGGCGAATATTTCGAGAAGCTGAGGCGTGCATCGCGTCGCTTCACAACCCTTGAAGGATGGCACGAGATTGGAGAGGGTTTCTACGGCTTAGGGCAAAGAAGTCGCATCTTGAGCTTCGCAAACCAGTTCGACCCCGAGCTGTACGATGAGGAACGGACCTCTGACGTTGCCCTTAGTGTATCAGAGGCACGTAACAGTCGCGCACATAGTAACGCACTCGGAGATAATCAGATTCCTACCAGAGCTAGAGAATCCATCATATCAGAGAAACCCTATCATATTTTTACCCGAAGGCAGAGGTGGTCGGTCGTGATTATGATCGGTGTAGCAGGACTCTTCTCTGGCCTGAGTTCCAATATTTACTTTCCAGCAGTAGAAGATATTGCCAAAGTGGGTGAAAAGTCGCCGCTTGATATCAAAGGCTAACGCGGAGAAGGATCTTGGAGTTAGCATCCAGGAGGTTAATCTGACGATCACATCATACCTCGTCATCCAAGGCATATCACCGCTTTTCTGGGGTGCGCTGTCTGATATCCTCGGCCGAAGACCGATCTATATCTGTTCGTTTTTAGTGTACATCACTGCGAACACGGCCCTTAGCTTTTCTCCAAACTTCACTGTCCTCTTACTATTCAGAGGTCTTCAAGCAGCCGGATCCGCTTCGACAGTCAGCATCGGGAACGGAGTTATCCAGGACATTACTGCACCTTCAGAGCGAGGCGGCTTTATCAGCTTCTACCAAGCTATCCGGAACTTCAGTATAGCGGCAGGACCTGTTCTCGGCGGTGTGCTCGCGAACTTCCTCGGCTTCAGGTCCATCTTCGTATTCTTGCTCATTCTCTCAGGAATCACAATCATTTCCATCATCGCCTTTCTCCCAGAGACGTTGCGCAGCATAGCAGGAAATGGTTCGATTCGCCTTACGGGCATCCATCAACCGCTTATACGCAGACTCCGAAAGGAACCTGGATATCTCCAGGATCGCGATCATTCATATCGGCGGACTCAGATCACACTTAAAACCTTCCTTGAACCGCTTTCGTTGCTCAGACAGAAAGAGATCTTGTTGAATTTACTCTTCGGGGGGGTCGTTTATGCAGTTTGGAGTATGGTGACGAGCTCTACAACTACGCTCTTCAAACAGGCTTTCGGGCTGAATGAAGTGATGCTAGGGCTAGCGTTTATTCCCAACGGTAAGTTTTATGTTCTGTATGTTAGCTCTTCTGGTGGCGAATGGATAAATTTCGCGACACCGTTGACTTTCAAGAAAAGACTCTTACTCATTCGTCTCTGACCATGCTGACCCCATCACAGGATTTGGAACTATAGTTGGAAGCACTGTAGTTGGTAAACTACTGAACAGTTCCTACGCGCAAGTCGAAGGGGCATATCGTATAGAGCACGATATGCCTTCCAAAGAAAAGCTTTGCAAATATTCAGTCCCCGTTGACTTTCCCATTGAAAAGGCAAGACTGAAGCACGTTCCTTGGATCACTGCTGTATTCGTAACCAGTACAATGGCATACGGTATCTCAATCGGGTATACCTCTTTGACGAATCTACCGGGTTGGATTGCGATCCCGTTAATTTTCCAATTTCTCATCGCCGCAACGAGTAATGCTGTCTTTGCAATTAGCCAAACGTTGGTATCAGATCTTTGTTCTGGAAAGGGTGCAAGTAGCACGGCAATTAATAATCTTGTGCGATGCTCAATGGGGGCAGTGGGGGTAGCTGTTGTTGACAGGATGATCACGACCATGGGAGCTGCGCCGACTTTTGTAGGATTAGGACTTTTTACTATTGCTGCATATCCTTTAAGCGCTGTGCAGTGGTATTGGGCAATGAGCTGGCGGGCAGAGAGATTGTCAGGCGGGAAGTGATAATAGTGGATAAATGGAAGTCTGCGGCTGAAAAGCTGCATAGCTTGAAACAATGAATAGTGTGTCATGGATGCTAAAATTGTGTGTCACTGGCATGAAGTGCTGTGCTCGGTGTGTGGTGACAGATGTTCAAAATCACGAGTTGATTTCGTACAGATCGTCTGGAAGTTCTTACTACATAGAAAAAAAGCCAAGATATGCTATGCGTTTTGTACTATTCACATCAAGTAAATCAGAGCTTAGAATATTGCTTGAAGATTACTATGCTAAATTTCGTTCATATTGAGCTCTAATTGAGCCTGTGTTGGAGTACAATTCACTAGATTTGGTGTATCTTCAGGCTCACGTGCCAAGCAAACTGATTTGAAAGGGCATCCCCGGAGATGTCATCTCTTATTCCATTTGCTAACGCGAACAATCTGTAGGCGCTTTTGGCTTCATTGTCGAATGCCGGTCATATGTCGCCACTATCGTTTACAGGGTGTATTAAACTGACCATGATGTCCATTGTCCGGCACCGTTCATGAGACTGTTAGCGTTATGTGGCTCTTCGGGTCCCGCTGGACTTTGCCTTTCATGTTTGCCACTCATATCCTACAGTTGGTCTCTGGCGCTGCGCAGCTCTAGTTCCAGGGACATTCGTGGATGGATGCAGGACTCTGTATCAACAGATGATTTAAAATTTTCGTCACTGCTTTCACGTCGGACGTGCAGGCCCTACCAAAAGCGGAATTCGGCTAACCTCCTGTACCGGTTCTGGTAAGATCTTAACGATCTGGTTCTCTCTCTGTTCTCCAATGCAGACTTCGTGCAGAGCATACTGAGAAATGGCAGATCAACGGTGTTCGTGGAAGACTGCTTGGCATGGATGCTGGGCGCGTCGCCAGAGGTTAGTAGACGAAGGATATAGGACCAGGTGCTGCTGATGCTGTGGAGGGGTTGACAAACCAGCGGGGCGGAGTTTGAGGCGGTGAAGGGGGTCATAGCACAGGTAGCCATCAAGAGACCAAGGAATTCCGCACGGTCGCGCTGTCAATAGTGTCTGCGGTGGCAGTTATCGTCTCGTAGGCCGCACTCACCCGAGTCTGCTTTGCACTCTACGTTCTACCCTCTCCTCATCTTCTCTATCTAGGATACCAAGGAAAGTCCACAGAATCAAAAGTTTATAGATCGCTTTCATCAATCCCGCGCCTCCCAGCATAATACGCCACGATTTGCCAACTGCCAGTGCTCCTGAGCTACTAATACCGCCCGCCTGTGCGACTGTCTTCACAATATCTGTTACAACGAGAATCGCCTTTCTTTCCCGTGACTTCAAGACGGCTGCCAGAAAGGCCTGTCAAAGTGCTTGGTCCATGCTTTGCATACAAGCTCTGAGGCTCAAGAGCCCCATAAATATTAGCGTGCCCGGAGCTCCAGCTTCGGGAAAAGCGGTAAGTGCAAAGAATACTGCAGAGGGAAGATATGTAAACGTCATCGTCTTCACGCGACCGAGGCGTCGGCCGAGAGCCAAGGCAGCAAAGTTAGACAACGTAGCTGTAGCATGGGTAGTGAAGAACAGAGTGCCCAAGGCAGCAGGTTCAAAGTCGCGGACAGTGGTGCAGAAGTAAGTAAGCCAGGATGGAGACGCCATGCTTGGCGCAAATGAGGCCAGCGCAAAGAGCGAAACGAGACGGAACAATATGACCAATGACCTCCGAGTTACCTGGGGAAGCAATTTGTGGGACTTTGGATCTGTCCGTATTTTTTTCAAGGCTGGATGTGAGGCAACTTGGGGCCTTTCTGTCGAATGTCGTGGAGATGACGTGGCAGAGAGCAGCTCCTCGTGCTCTACTTCAATGATCGCTTGGTATTCCGAGTTCTGATCGTGGAGCTCGACACGATGACTGAGTGCCAGCACAAGGACAAGCTAATTAGAATAATATTTCAAACATTATAAGTATACCACTACTTATATTCTTAGTTATCTAATACTATATAGTGAATAATGTTTTATTAATAATAGTAGGAAAAAAGGTTACATTAGCTAGCTACTCTAAGAAGGAACAGGGTTACAAAGTGTAACATTTCTTCTGCTAGCATAATCCTATATCTAGAAACTTTTTATTAAATAAACTCCAGTAGTTACAAAGTTCTAAATCTGTCAGGTTTAACGCTAATTACCTGCTAAGCCCGCATTATCAGCGCGTACACTACACCTTGAATGACGTACTTATAGTACATCGTAATCACAATTCCCATCACGATGCCTAAAAATCATTGAAGTATGTCGACGCAAGTAAAGAAGGGTTCTATTTAAGTGGGGCAAGTGAATGCCTTTTCCAAGATTCTAATCTGCAACACCCCAAACACCCCAAAAACGCCCAGTCTTTTTTTGGCATATACACATGTTGGTAAAAGTAGGTTCTAGGTTCAAGTCGTAATAAGTCGTAGCCAGAATCCTAATGGCTCTCTCTCCCCAGCACCCATTAGCGTCCGCTGTCTCCATCCACTCAGGTCCAGGTCGACATCAAGCTGGTCGGAATCGGCAATCTTTCCTCGTCACACGCAGGTAGGAGCAGGATCCTCAAGCTTCAGCGGCTTCATGAGTCGGGCTGGCTGGGTTGGAAAAGTTCGGCGTCGCAGGCGAGCTGTACGTCTGCTGCGCGGGCTCGCAAACATTGCGGTGCGCCTTCCAATCCGTCTTCTGGCAGCTCCTATCGCAATAATACGCCGCCTTACAGCGGGAGCAGCGGCGCTTAGCCGGGCCACCAGAGCACGTAGTACAAGCTATTCATCCCAGTTAGCCTTGCGAATAAACTTTAGGTTTGAGTCAACATGTAACGTCAACAGGACACAGCATGAGAGATAAAAAGTGGAGGGCGCGGATGCGCGCCATGTGGGGCCGGCAGGCGCGCCAAGTCCAAAGGGGAAAAGACGGTCGGGTTCCTGCATGAGAGAGCCCACATGCGAGAGGGAAAACGTACGCTTGGAATTCATGGCGAAGTTCAGACTCTCGGTGGAGGCCATAGGGCGGAGGGACTGGAACAGTTCGGCACGGCTGAAGGCGGGGATGTTGGGTGTGAAGGTTTGTGGTGGTGTTGGTGCAGAGGCGATGGAGCCGTCCGAAGAGCGGCGAGTGACGTCTAGAAATGGATTAAAAACGATCGAAATATGTGAAGATGAAAAATGAAGGAACACTCACCACTCTGTGCACTATCTCTCCTCTCCATAATCGGATGTCTTCCTATCGCGCCGCCATTTTCGTCCCTCACCGCCTCGCCAAGACTGCTCGTGAACACATTCAAGCACACACTTCGGGGTGGCATTATCCTCAAGTCCTTCTCTTGTATATTATTTGGTGGTTCCGCGGGGTG